CGGCGTACCACCTGTATCTCTGCTGTTACGTACTATCGCCTCGTCCGACAGAAGTATATATATATATATATATATATATATATACACGTTTTAACCACCAGAATCCGACGAAATATTAATATAAAGAAAATCCCAGATAATAAACATAAAATTTCTTATAATCTAGGCATTGTTGAATCTAAAATTTTATTTACAAAATACATTCACTGATGTTTCATCTAACATTTTTATAAAAATATGACACTCTGCTAAAAATGTTACATATTTTTTCAAAATGTGATAATGCACGTAAATACAGTACAGTACATCTTGAAAATACTATACAGCCCTTAATAGTGAAACTTGTTATTATGAGTAGTACAAATCATTTTAAAATTTGATATCTCAAAGGAATGCTAATGCATTAGTATTATTAAAACATATCAAAGGATTTAAAGTGATGTTAACTTGCCATCTTCCCTGTTCCATGCCTCACCTTTTTCACTCAGTTACATTTTCTTGATACAAAATAAAATGTTCCTGTTGAAAGTAAATGTAATGGTATCTACATAGCCATAACATTTGATGTTAATTGTAGTTTTATTAAATTCATTAAAAATACCATTAATATAACCTGAATCTACTGCTTTCAATAGAAGTTAATGACAGTTTGTTAACTGCTTTTTCCTTACCCAGGATTACTAATAAGAAATTGACATTTTTTATATGTACATGTAACTTTCCTCATAAAAATTTCAACTTTTCCAGATTTTTCTATAGAAAATAATGGTAAAACTATTTCATTCTTAAACACTTAACTCGATACAGATCAAGTGCATTTCTTGCACATGCAGTTTCATGGTAAATGCTACATAAAATTATTTATTCAGTACTATCTGTGGTGTACACTGAGAAAAGTATATTGCAAAATTGAACTTTGTCAGAAAGAATTAGAAGTAAAACACCAGGGAACGACCCAATAACTTTTTATATAATGCTTTTTATCATCATGTATCACTAACATCCAAACAATACTCATTTGAAATCTCATTTCTTTACATTAAACTTTCCTGCTCTACACCAGTTGATGGTATAAAAAGTATTACTGTATTTATAGATATACTGAAACTGTAGTGATCATAAATAATCATGTAACATAATACAGTGTCACAACAAGTCAATTTTCCTGGATTATCAAAATGAACAGTATTGAGCATTAATCTAAGAACATTCATAGGGTGTTCAGTAACAAATGTGAAGTGTATCATGATAAACAGTTCTGGAATAGAAATATGAATAACATTACTTAAAATGTTACTGTTGAATGTAGTATTTAGTAATTCTTTTGTGTAATAAAAATCCTACAAATGAATAGTACTTGATCATTAACTAAAATGATTCTTAGTAAAATCTAACTCTGCTAAAAACAAAAGAAATTAGACAATTATTTAAACAGAAGATGGATTAAAATAAACTTGAAAGATGCATTCTCATCCCCCTCACTAGTAGTAGTAGTACAGGAATGTTTTTAAAATACATAACAAAGCTATTTTCTACCACAAAAATCTAAATCTACGAAGATGAAACTTACCAATAATAATTGGAGCAATGATGTTATCCTTTATCAGAGATTTTGAAAAAATAGTGCTGTATACATTAAAATGAAGTTGTAAACAAATGAATTAAATTGATAATGGTTGTGACTAAATTTGTTTTTACTCCTTTCACGATGAGATAAAATAAATACCATAAAATTAAACCAATCAGTCGATTGCTTGACATTTCTTGTTCTCTTTCAAAATTCGTAGTGCATACTGGAGGGATTTACACATTTTGATAAAAAGTTTAGAAAAAAATTTACATTTACGTTCCAAATATATATTTTTAACTAGCGTTTCGCCTTTGCGGCTTCCTCAATATCGTGTATATTAACCCTTAGGAAGTCGCAAAGGCGAAACGTTGGTTAAAATAAATTATATATATACATCTCGAGTGTAAAGGTCGTTTTTTAAAACTTTATCAAAATTAAACCGACGTTTTACAAATGCCAGAGGCACTGGAACCGTACATATTTTACTTATATACTAACTGTAAATGATATTATATTAATTTTCTAGGAGGCATGCTCCTAAATCCTTTAGATTGAGCTGCTGAAAACAGCTCCTTTTAAGTTATACTTTCAATCTTTCATTGTAAAATCTGCATGTCTAACTAGGCATCCCCACTTTGCAACTCCTTCCTACACCCCTGAATATGTTTATTAGAAGGGATTTTAACTACTCACATGTTTGTAATTAGAATTTGTTACAATAAAAGTGTATATGTTTTATTGCACTAAAACAAGCGAAAACTTCATTTTCATAATTCTGTTAAATCAGTTAAGTGTATAACTATAAAGAAGCTTAGCATAAAATTAAAAGGAGAATGGTCAGCCTTTTAACCTATATACTTACACTATAATCAGATCTTTAAAATTTTCTCTGTATATGTAAATTCTGAACCTCAATAAATTAATTGTTACACATAAATCAGTGTGCTACACGTTTTATAAGGTTATAATACACTAGATCGGCCTTGGCTTAGGGCAAAGTGGATGCCACGTGCCTCACACTAAAGTTTTTGGGCCCCGCGCCGCACTGTAAAGACTACGATTGTCATTAAAACACCTTAATTCGAGGCTGACGTCGTTATGAGCACAATTTACAATACTTCCCAAACACAAGCCACACAACCTGTGCTCTGAACATAAATTTGATTTCAAATGGCTTACATTCATAAAGCATCTCCTGTAACCTTTTCAGATGTTTTGTTATTTTTTTGGAACATCACCAAAAAGTGTGTGCGCATGACGACATCAGATTTGAAACAGTCTCGCGGGTTTTAGTGAGATTGTGAAAGCCGCGAGATTACGTTCGTTTCTTAAACACACTATCATGTCGGCACCACTGATCTATGGAGCGTACACCACTCTGAGGCTACGGTAGGGGTGAAGCCACCGGAAGACTCCCACGGCCATTTTTATTTCACACACTTATAGAGCCCACCCTACGATATTATTATAATACCTCTATTACTGTATAGGAATCTTGATCAATATGCCTCGCTGTTCAGCTGTTGGATGCAGCAACATATCAACCAAGGGATGTGGCAAAACTTTCCACTTGTAAGTATTCATCTTAGGGTTATTACGTATCAGTTAAACAAATTTTATCGACTTTTAATATACGGAGAACGAGTACTCTTTATAACAAATGTATGGCAAATTAAACCCCATCGAAATTGGTGTGTGATGAACTGTGTTTAACTAAAATATACATATGCACTTTAATAAGCATGATCACTGTTTATTTGATTATTTTAATGATAAAATTGCGCACAAAATAAAAATATGTAAATATTTTCCTATACGCCCTGACCGGGACGTCTCCATTCAGACCCGTTCAACACTACGCCACCTTTTCGCTTTTGTATGTAATTAAATACAAGCACGGCGACAAATATGAAGTGCAAATATAAATCAACTACTGACTTTTTCTTTAACTTCAGTATCTCGCAAAACACATCTCGATAGAGCACAAACACATGCCAACAAAACAGCAACTACTTGCCTAAGTGCAACTAAAGAAACTGTAAGTATTGTTACATATCTGCTTGTTTGTTAATTTCCCGTAGAAATTCTTTCAGAAAAATTTCAGCGATACAAATCCTTTCTTAAATAAAACTAGTTTATTCTTTCTCAATACAACTTTGCAATACACAGAATTTCCACAGTCACTTTAATTTAAACACACGCTAAAATTCACAACGATTCACACACTTTACTTAGGGTCACTTGACTCAATTATCTGTCTATCTGCAATTATATCTCCTCTTTATTTGACGGGCTTATATACTAAAATAGAGGGCGCCTAGAAAAGACTAAAGTTGCCAGGAACAGTCATAATCCTTCTAGAAATTCCAGCGTCACGTGACTTCTGCTGTCGTAACAATATTATGTTAAGTAACCTCTCTCTCTCTCGGATATTTAAATTATTTGTCATTATATTATATAAACATTTTTCTATGTAAGTTATTGTTGCACTTACAAAACGTGTCTCTAATTTTAGACAAATACAATTTATAAAAGCTTAACTCCAAAACATTGAATTTAAACATTGGTATTTTTTTAAAATAAGTTTACGGTATTTTTAAGAAAATAATAATGTAATAAACTGAATAGAAAACAACACAACATATCCTTTCAAAGCAGGAATTGTTTGACTGAATATATACCAGAACAACCTAAAATTGTGATTCAGTCTTTGGTCGATAAACGGCACGAAGTATGAAAAAGACAGCGACGAATGCCAGTAAGCAACCGCCTATCTTGCAAGTGTGAAAAATCTTTCAAGTTAAGGAAAGAACCAATTCATTTAAAGTGGGGGATATCAAACATCGAAATCACCATACCAAGCAAATGGACACAGTTGTAAAAGCAGTGTGGGCACTTGATATGGAAAAACTTGATGTACATAATACGCATATTTTTATCATATAGTTTCCTTCATATGAGAATAATCAATTAAATTCAATCATGCACCCTTTCTTCTTTTAGGTTTCCCAAGAATGTTGAAAGACGACAACTATGGGTGGCCAGGATGAGGAGAGAGAAATTCAAGCCATCAGACAAGGCAGTAGTGTGTTCCGATCATTTTGAGGAGGAATATTTTGACAAAACTGGCCAAACTGTCAGACTACGTCCAGATGCAGTACCGACAGTCTTCAACTTTCCTAAACATTATCAGAAGGTACATACTTATATACACGTTTTTTAAAGAAATACTAAGTTACATCGTCCACACACCCAAACTCAGTTATTACAGAAATACTATTATCAATTGTGTCATGATCTAAAAGACTGTTTCGTTCAAATATTATTGATTAATTTAGTTTTGTGAGTGAATGTTTTATTATTGTTTAGTTTTTGCTAACTAAGAGTTAAAAGCAGATGATTGTAGGAAGTTTTGTTAATAATTCAGTGATGTTGAGAATATCGAACGTCACGTGCATTATATTGACGTCATAAATAATAGAAGGCGGACAGACGATTAGGTAATAAAGATATAAATAGCGTGAGATGAGCGGGAAGCAGCAGACAGATAATAGCAACAGAGAATAAAATTGGTGCGAAGTTAATTACCGTAGAAGTGATAGGCCTAACGATTAATATGTTAGATGGTAAGAGGAAACTAACAGTAAAAAAGAAGATAAGAAAAATATTTTTATTCCCCCAAAGCGTGGTTCTAAAGTAATTGAATCAGCCTGAGTGCACTTTGACAAAAGAAACAGGGGATCTTCAAAAGAAAGAAGACCAAACGATTAGGGTATCTCGAGCCACAATTGTAAGTGAATCATCGAGAAGATAGTTCTGCTTGTCAACTGAAATTCTAAAATAACTGAATAGGCCTAGGTGGATATTTGACAAGAAGGAGAGAACTACGTGTATAGTATTTATAATATATCCATAATATCTATAGTGTTGAGGAATTTATTGTACATACGATAACTTGTTCTGAATATATATGTTATTTTGAAAACAAGTGAAGTGCGTAGTGTTTATTCATTGTTGAATTTATCACTTAACAAGTCACAGACACCTACTGTAGAAGAGTCCTAAGCCCAACAACAACATAGTATATATTTATATTATTATGAAGTATAAGTAAAAGCCTTTCTATTTTGGCAATTGGCAAATATATATATATATATATATATATAAGAATTATATTTTAAATTCTGACAAATTGATTACTGCAAATATTCAGCTTTGTTCATATCACGAACCACGATAGACAGTCGAAAGTGGTTCATAATAGGAATTGCACGAAACACTAATAAAACGTTCGAGCAAAAAGCACGTTAAACAGTAAATATTCAGTTCAAACAACACTTTAAAATCTTTACTACTGACTGCTACAGCTGTACAGGTACAAAATGCAAAGAAAAAAACAGCATGTTAGACTTACAAGGAAAAGATAGTCCACTCAAAACTGCTCGTTTGTAATTCTTCTTTTTTATTATTATTCTCTTGCCAACCTACAACAAAAACGGTTGGTATGTTGCACCCACATCTTTTGTAGAATACTAAATAAGGTACTGTAAAGGTTGTTGGGGTATTGAAAAGTCGATTTGTTTCCTTCATAAGCTAAAAGTCCCCCCACTGGGACAGTGGTAAGTATATGAATATACAATGCTAAAGTCAGGGGTTTGATTCCCCTTGGTGGACACGGTAGATAGCCTAATGTGGCTTTGCTATAAGCAAAACACACACACACATAAGCTAAAAAACATCATAATTTTAGTTTAAACAATGTTATTATTATTATTATCCCTTGAAGTTAGCTTTCTTACAAATACCTGGTGTTTCTTTAAAGAGCTTAAGTACAGAGTGAAACAGGATTTACCAACCAATAATAGAAGAGCATTAGATGATTGTCACGAGTAGATACTCAATACTTTGTACACTATACAATCAGTATACTTAGGGAGCTAACCCCTATACTATGTATGAAGCCAAGGAGTAAAAAAATTCGTACACATAATATTAAATTGTATTACACGTTTGTAGAATAATTACGTTAAAAGACACGAAGGTTTATTTAAATCAATGTTTTAGATGTATATGTTGTATTTGAAAAGGCTTTTTACTGGTAAAACATTTTTTTCTGTGCTTAGTGGGGGTTGTGTCTTAGTATAGGCATATATTTTCCCATTGCTATGCATTATATACATGGAATTAAGTTACACAGAAACTATAAATACTCACTATATTCTCAAACAAATCTCCATGAGAATCGCCAGCGGCAGTTTTGCAGTTGACATCTCGAACTAATGCGATCAAATAGTCAATAGCTACAGTAAATCATCAATTTCTTCATGAACCATATCAGCTAGCTACAAGTTATGTTTATTATCATTAGTGTATAAAGTTAGCTACTATATCAAGTAATCCTTTGCCCATAATTAAGCATACAAATGCTAGCAAACAAGATAAAGTAAAAATTGGAAATTTAAAAATGTACAAATATGGATCATAAAAAAGTGAGAAAACAAGATGGAGATACTGTAGACATCATTTACTCAAACTACAAATCCCTATTTTGACTCCACCAAATGTAATTCTATGTAACAGCAAGGAGCCAAAATATGGATTTTAGTATGAGTAATGTCTACAATATCTTGTTTCGTTACATTTTTTTATGATACCTATTTGCAGGTTTCTAAATTTCCAATATTTTGTTTATATTGTTATAATTATGACTAAATGGATCCTGAGTAAACGTAAAATGCTCTAGCTATTTTTTTATCAAAACCGAATAAATATAATTTATCTAGTTCTTATACAAGGGTAATAACATGTAGAAAAATTATTGACTTTTTCATGTTTGAGTTATATAATGCAGTGAGATTATGCTTTATATGTATCTGATTTCAGAAAGCTGGCAATCACAAACTACCCACAACAAGACAATATGCAGAATCAAATCATCAGCAAACTCCACATGTGACTGTAGACAATAAAATTATTGTTGCAGATCATCAGTACTGCACAGCCAGCCCACAGAAAATGAAGAGTAAGCTTCACTGGACTGTGGATGTGTCTCAGGCCTGCAGAAAAAGGTCGAAGCTAGGTAGGAAGATTGCACAAAAAAGTAGATTCCCTGCAAAACGTTATATACTTCATGCAGATTCCATAAATGATCTCTAAGTCATGAGTAGACATGCTTGAAAAGACCTTTGTTGAGGTACCACTGGAACTGATGAAGCACATTGTGAGCCAAAAAGTCAAAGAGACATCACATAAGGAATACCATCCTGTCCTCAAGTCCTTTGCCTTGACACTACATTTCTCCTCTGTAAAGACTTACAGTTATGTCTGCAACACTTTCAACTTAGGCCTGCCACATCCATCCACCATCAGGAAGTGGTACAGCAGAATTTATGGGAGTCCAGGCTTTAGTGATGAGGTGTTACAATTTCTTGAGGTCAAGGTCCACAAAGCCAAGAAGAACAGCAAGGGTGTGTTGTGTGCATTGATGCTAGGTGAATTGGCTATCAGGAAGCATGTTGAGTGAATGGTGAAAAGATGTTAGGTTATGTTGACATTGGCTCTGTCATCACTGATGATTCTTCACCACTAACAACCAAGGTTTTGATATTCGTGGTGGTTTGCATTCATGATCACTGTAAATTTTTCATTTGGCTATTTTCTCACCAATAGCCTATCAGATGCTGAATGGGCTAATTTTGTGTGTCAACGTATCTTGAAATAGGCAGATGTTGATATGAAGGTTATTTCTTTCATGTGTGATGGACTTCATATCATTTCTCAATGCTGAAAGAGCTTGACAAATCCACTGATTCTGCCAACTTTGATCCCAGTTTTCCCAACTCATCTCAACCCTACCAACGGGTATTTGTCCTGCAAGATATTTGTCACATACTGAAGCTGATCAGGAACACTCTTGGCACATGTGGCATCATCATTGATAAAACTGATGAGAAGGTGAGATGGCAGCATCTAGAAGGCCTCAACAAACAACAACAAGAGGAACGTCTACGCCTTGAGAACAAGCTCAAGCCAGCTCACACAGCATGGAAGTTCCAGATGAAAGTTTATCTTGCTGCCCAGACACAAAGTTCGAGCATTGCTTTTGCTCTTAGATTCTGTTGACAGGAATTAGAGCTGGAAGAGTTTGCTGACAGTGAATCTACCTGTACGTCTATTGAATTTTTTGATAAGCTATTTGACATAATGAACTCAAGGAATCCTTTGGCTAGCAGCTACAAGGCATCCATGAAGCTTGCCAATGAGAGCTCTATGATGCTGTCTTTAGATGAAGCCTACCAGAATGTAGCAACACTTAAAGATAGAAGTGGAAAGTTGATCACAAGCACAACACTCAAAACAGCCTTAATTGGCTTTATGGCAATTATATAAAGCATCACGATCCTCGATGAACAATATGTGAAAACAGATGCATCGTAACTGCCCTACTTGTTGACCTACAAGTTAAGCTAATATCATCTTGAGCATTGTTTTTTTTTATTGTTGTTTTTTGTTTGCAGCTGTCAGGTTAATATATGGTTTTAGTAATTGCCTAACTGTACGTCAGTTCATTGCATCGTACAACAGGATGCTGGTGAGGCATGATGTGAAAGGGGCTGGTGGAAAGTGCATTCAGCTAGACATGAAAAAGATCCTACAAGCAGCACAAGCATTTAAGTCAATGAAAGATGCAGTGCCAGACAATTCTCAAGATATCCTGATGATATGACACCTTGCTATCTTCTGACGAATCAGATGATGGCTTTGATGCTGTTCCGAACATTCCTGTCCTATCAGCAAGCTGCAGTGAGCTATGTTGCCGGATTTGTGGTTCACATGGTCAACAAGAGGACCCATTGTCCTGATTGTCAAGCAGCGCTAACAGCAGCTGAGTTTAGAGCCGATGAGCCAGGCGACATTTTCATTTTTATGAAAGACAAAGGTGGACTTGTCAAACCCTCACAAAGTACCATTAAGGTTTGTGAAACCACTGAAAGATGTTTTCAGCATCTGTTGATTGCATCAGATTCAGGTCTGCCTCTAGAATCTAAAAATCCCATTTTTCATAATGCACACACATAATGCATGCACAACCTTCGATGACTTACTACAGCACAGAGCCTAATAAAAATCACATATTTACCTTGATAAAGTGCGTATCCTTGTGCTATTCCAAAATCAGGGTGCATCACTTGGCCAGATCATTCACAGACACTACCACTGGTAAGCTAGACATTCGGCAAGCTGTTTTTTAATACCAGTAGAGTTCATTAATATTTACATGTAATTGAATAGACTCAAAGCCTCATTATCTACGCACAAAGCTGTTTATATAGGCCTTTATGCAAAACTGTTATGTGTTTGCAGTGTTCGTGTAAAATGGTGTTTGTATCTCATGATTATTTCAGAGAACTCATTTGTAATTTAAATACATTTTTTTCATTTATCAGTAAATTTTTACAACAATCGCAAAAAAAAATTCATTTGTCAACAAAAGATTGTTTTTAATTAATTGCAGATTTCCTTTTTTAACACCAAATCTTAACGGCATTAATACAGTATTTTATAAAAACAAAACAACAATCTGGATAATTGATACATTCTGTAACAACTATGCTGCTTAATGATTATTATTTTTACTTTTATGAATATGTGAAGAAATTATAAAAAAGGTTATTCACAAATGTTACTTACGTTTGCGTAAGAGGTTCTTGTGCATCCTACCTTGCTTATAGAGTTAAAGTAATCAGCTATCCTTTTATGTACTGATATTGCTTTGAATTTGTGTGTATGAATAATCCACTCATTCAGCATGAACATAATTGGTAATAACTGATGAATAAATATTTATTTTGTTCTTGCAAGAAAGGAGGCAGTTCCTCTGTATTTCTTCTATAAAACAAACTATTGTTTTATTTGGTATATCTTTCTTATCTCTAATTCTGATTTACAATAAAAATCTAATATACCTTATAATATGATCTAACAAGAGTTTTTATTTTTTTTGTAATCCAATATCTCTTTGTATCAACTCAATTACATGAACTAATGTCGAATCTTTCTTTGATATGTGTTAATGAAACCACACTTTATATATAAATGTGAGAAATAGTGAATAAAATTTCAAATTATAATCACCTCTCAACTACAAAAAATCATTTTGATTTCTTATTCTATAATTTTGATTTCAAAAAGAAAAAATTATGGAAAGCACTAATACAATGCTATCTAACCAATGTGTTAAGGTGGAACTAAGTAGGTGTGGTAAAATAGCAGACGTGTAGCCGCTAATCGCTTTCCATATATAGATCAGTGGGAAAATGCAAACCAAATGGCAAAAAGGAAATCTGCTGCAGTATTTCCAAAGAATTCCGCTAAAGAAGAAATGCTTCGGAAAGACAATGAATTTGACTCTTCACAAAAGACTAAAGATAGCAACAACCAGCCTCTTTTGTTCAAACGAAATGAAGAGGGCTTTGAATTGTGACGTGGCTTAGCGATGTAAAAAGGCATTATCGTTACACCAGTGACAAAAGCAACTTTTTTTAATAAGCACCTATTGGCACAAAGATAAAAAAATATCATGCTCCAACCAATTTGACCATATTAAACCAAGATGGCTGCTACGGATTTTTGAAAATCTACTTTATGTCATATGTTCTTATTAATTAAGATACAGACTAATGTAATACATCGTTTTGTACATTTTCAAGGATGGGAAATCCATTGCTATCAGACTTTTTCTTAAGAAAATGTAGAGGAAATCTATTTTAACCATAAGTTATTACAAAATACCAGCAAGAGATAGACAATATTGGCTGAATTGTTAAAAATTCACTATATATTCTCTAGTTTGTGCGTGGATAGACTACTCAGCACAGTATAAAAAATTCCCATCTGATTTTAAAAAAGTAATATTTTGTACTTTATAGACATAATGGTTTGTTAAACATCACATCTGTGTCGATACCGTAGACATATACTTGGTCACAAATGTTGCCTCTAAATATATTGAACTTTCCTATGTATTAAGCTTTGTTCTCGAGCATATTTTCACCTCAGGCTGCTAGTTGCCATGCTGAATCGAATCCATTATGAAGTAGGTTTAAGGTTTCCATTTCAACTTTAGTTAATTAAATCAAATGATTATAACTTTCATAGCAAAGTAGTTATGTACAAGCTTAATTCAATAAAGATGATTTTCAAATATTTTCTTTATTGTCTCATTGCAAGTAGTGATCACATAACTGCCTGAACATGGATTGGTCTTGCTGTGTTATATGTCAGAGCAAAACAAACACATCGCCTTTATCATGTCCTCAACATCGTACAACTCAATATGCTAGAGAAGTCTACACAAACTTTCTGGAAAATGTGTAGCATTTCAGAGATCTTAATGCATTACCTGGTCCTGTAGACTTTGGTAAGCAAGGCACGCCAGAATGTTTCATGGAAAATAGAGCATCTTGCACGCCTTCAGAAATTCGACAAATCAAAACCAGAAAGAGAAATCAATAGGAAATGAAAATAGTCACATAATGAGCATCAAGATAAAGAAGCAGAAACTTTAAGTGGTGTCCAACACTGAAAGCGCCGCCCAATTACCAGCAGGTCCAACACATGTATCTTCTGTGATAAAATGAGAGATTTTCACGAGTATGCCACAAACCTTGCAGAGGCAAATCTCAGAGCCATGGCTAATGATATGTCGGACACTAAAGTTCTTTCCAAAATATTATGTGGTGACTTGGTGGCAACTTATGTCAGATATCATCTATCATGTTTGACAAAATACTGGAACCATTGTCGTTTTTTTTTTATCTGACGACAGTCCCACACGTGCCAAGCAGCTGAAAATGTTAAAATGATCAAAGCAAGAGCCTTTGCAGAACTTGTGACTCATGTGTAAATTTCTGCTGAAGAAGGAGTTCATCTTTCTAAGCTTTCAGATATTCTTCAAATGTATGAAAAGGATCTCAGTGAGTTTGGCATCAATATATCTTTCAACAAGACAGATCTATAATAACAGCTACTTAGCTCTTTCGATTAAATTAATCTTTTAAATTAGTAAGCGAACGTTAACGAAATTTGGCAGATTATCAGTAAACATTAATTAAACATCTAATTTTTCTTATTAAGTCGTAAAGTTTGTAAAACAATGTTTCTCTCATGCCTTTTTTTTCGTTTCACATCTTGCCTGTCTATCATGCAAAGTAATTTTCATTTTAAGATTAAAAATATTTGTATGCATCAGAAAATGTTCAAATTTTATATGCGAAATCTTTATAATGTCCGGATAGTTATCCAACGTTTCTTTAAAAAAAAACTTTATATTCTATCTGTTATTTTCAGTAATTAATTTCTGTACGGGTTCGGTAAATTTGACCGATCTCGCAACCACCATAAAAATTAGGAAATAAACCTAAATTATGCTTCTTTCATTCTAGAATGAACATGAAAATATAAACGTTTAGACGAAGTAGCTTAAATCTCATAACATTGTACATTTAAAAAAATATTTAATATTTTTTATTATTTTGTCCTTTCACCTGTGCCTGGCTAACAGTACAGAAGTTACAATGACGCGGATCACGTACACTATGTTATTGTATCAAATAACATAAAACTGACCTTTGATCTGTACAAAGTAACTTGTCTTGGCTGTGTTTTAGTCGAATAGTATTTTGTAAAATACAGTCACATTTCATTATTATATATTATA